TCACTTTCAGAAAATCTTCACATGATGGAGTAAATTCTAAGATTAACTTTAATGTTGTACTTGCATGATATTCATTTGTATCTCCCTTTGGTGGTTTGCCCTCCCTCATCTCAACTACATATAGTATAATCTCATCTACCATCTGTACATGGAAATAACAAATGAAGTTTTACTCTTGAGTTGGGTTCCCAACATGATCTCTGGCCACTCATCTCCCAGTATTAGTCATCCATACTGCAGACAAACTACTGAAGAGATTTATCCTGGTGCCTTTAAGGTTGCTGCTCTGGCTTTCCATCAGAGTTCACCTTAATCCAACTCCTTCTAATCCTCCTAATTAAAACTTCCCACCAAAATTTCCCATTACTTTTCAGGCCCTGTTCTTCTCCCATTATATATACTGCTTTTCATTTTTTTTTTTTTTTTTTTAAAGATTTTATTTATTTATTTTTTCCCCCCAAAGCCCCAGTAGATAGTTGTGTGTCACAGCTGCACATCCTTCTAGTTGCTGTATGTGGGACGCGGCCTCAGCATGGCCAGAGAAGCAGCGCATCGGTGTGAGCCCGGGATCCGAACCCGGGTCGCCAGCAGTGGAGCGCGCTCACTTAACCACCAAGCCATGGGGCCGGCCCTATACTGCTTTTCAAAGTATGGCAAAAAGGCCCAACATTTGACCAAATAGACCCATTATAAGATCTTATAGGATTTCCCATTCTGGGAAACTCTATTCCTCACCCTCTCCACCCACGCCACTCCAACTACTCTTCATATAGTACTCCCTTTATGTAGTTTCCAGTCTCTCCTTTCTTATTTGATTGTGATCTTTGGTACAAGTATGGTGCCATATCCCTCCTGTCAATACCTGCCAATCTTCAAATAACTCCATCTCTTCAGCAGGCTCTTCCACTCTTTTCCTGGATTGACCCTAGAGAAACACCCATGTTACCTACACAGTTCACTACCATCTTTGTATCATTTCTCATGGATTCAGTAGTCTTTTCTTTCATCTTCCTTGTTTTCTCTATACTGTGGTAAATACAGTTGCACTCTCAGTTCAATCCAGACCTTCATAGGATTCCTGCCACTGCCATGACTCAGATCCATCCCATTTAGACTCTTTAACTTTTTACTCTCTTGGTCACACTTGCTTCAAATAAGATTCCCAGAGGGCACTCCCTCATAACACCAATTCCTATTTACCCACTTACTCTTCACATTCTCTCTCCTTTGGTTGTAATCTAGCTTAACTCACATCTCTCTACTTAATATGCAACTCTGCCATTTTCCAGTGTTCCTCATTTGGCCCTCTTTAATGCCCTTCCCTACTCACACCTTATTTTCTGCACCCCAGCTTAAATCCTCTGTCGTCTCTGCATTCTTAGCTTCTAGACTCCATCTTCTCCTCTCTCTCCTCCTCCATGATATTTTCATACAAGTCTCCCTAGGAAATGTCTGTCACTTTTAGCCGGTCCTCACATGGCAAGGTAACCTCTAAGAGCAGCCAACTTTCAGGCACACTAAGCAATAACGTACCATGTCTTAACTAGCCGTCATCCTTTCACCTTACCATCTCTCTTCAGGACGAATGAATGCAGAAACTTCTCTTCAGATGTACTTCCCTCATCGTCTTCCCCCATCTAATACAATAATTCTATTCTCTGGACAAACCACCTATTCACACCCTCTACTAAGTCAAGCCTAATATCTCTAAAGTTGCCAGCAATAGCTTTTTATCAGTATTCATCTTAATCAGCTTCCTTATAAATAAACTTTCTTATCACCCAAGTCCTTTAATTAACAATTTCACTCCAAATTGGTGCTTCAAGGGATAATCTACTACTGCCTCCTACTCGAGTCCTTGCTCCCCACACTTTCTTTGTACTTCTCATTGCAATATGGTCTTATACCCCAAATGTAACCAATTAGACTGTTTTGAGCTCTGACAGGATTCCCCATTCTGGATCTTTATTCCACACGTGCTCTGCTTTGTAGGCCCTCCATTATATAGTACTTCCTCTTCTTTGCCTCCAGTCTTTCTTTTCTTTCTTGTTACATCATGACTTTTGGCCCAAGAATGATGTCTTATCCTTTCAGTTGATGTCTGTCATTCCTTAGTGACTCCTTTTCATCTGAGGGCAACCTCAGTGTTGCATTTCTGTAGCCTTCCTCCTTTTCTCCTAATGTTTGTCCTAGAGACAAACCATATCTTCAGCATCCCTCCTGCCATGTGTCCAGCATTCCCATGGATTCAACGCTCTTTCCTGGTGTAGACTCCTCATTTTGGGCACTCACTGCTCGACTTGCTTTCATCTTCCTTGATTCCCTCCATGCTCTACTGCATCCATTCCTTCTCAGTTCAGTCCAGACCTGCATGGACTGCTGCAGTTAGCCTGTTTCAGATCCCTCCCTTTTACCCCCTTTCTAATTTTTGCCCCATTGACTACATCCTTTTCTTTAATTATTATTACAACAAAGCTTTCTGGAATCTCCTTATAACCCTGTTTCTTAGTCAGTCTCCCCTCCAGCAGTTGAGACCTAGCAACCCCACCAAATTTCCCTCTCTGCCATTAGCCATGCTGCATGTTCTCTACCCCAGCCGAATTCACACGTCTCTCTCCTTACTTAGCTTCCAACATCGATCTTTTCTCTAATTTTGTGTGGTCTCTCTCATTTTCAGTCAGTCCTCACAAGACAAGCCTTATTTCTGAGAACAGGCATGGCATTCTTCTCTTATTCCCTTTGGTTATCTGCCTCACTTTGTTCATGAAGCTCTCATCTGTTCATTATGGCAATGGATTCAGTATTGTTCCGTGGAAAGGCCCCCTCTCACCTCCTCTCCTCATCACCCAATGTTAGTCATCCTCTCTAGCAACACTGATGGATTGCTGCCAATGGTTTTTACTGGAGTTCACCTTAGATTCCCTGTAACCTCTTATTGTATCAACCAAACTATTTAATTAAAAATTTGCCACAGAAGTTTCAGGAACCTTGTCTCTACTAATACCATTGCTATTTGCTTCCTTAATCCGTTTCTCTGTATCACTTACTTATATGTAAATAAGTGTCTTCTGTCTTTACTTATACATAAAATGCAACCAGTTTGCCCCAGTCTGTGATCTACCATTGTTCCTGACTCTCCTTACTCCTCTTCCTCATTTGCCTGTAGCATCCCTGCTTAATCAGAACCAAACTGGGGTTCATATAATCTTCTATTTCTTAATGTCTATCCTGTCTCTCCATTCTTATTTGATCCATGACCTTTGTCCCTACTATAATCCCTTATCTCTCCTTTTGGGTTATTTTTTTTTTAAATACCTCAGCTGACCCCTTCTGGGTTTGTGTTAACTTATACTTTTTTCTTTCTTCTTCCTCCTTCCTCCAGCAGAAAACCCTAGCTTAATTTAACCATGATCATTCTTTCATCAACCCCTAATGCACTGAATAGATTCTGTAGTCTTGATAGGTATACTCTTTCCTATATGGGTCACCCCACTACCATCATCTATTTTTAACATACTCTATTAAATTTATTTGCTCTCTGAATTCAGACCTAGTCTTCATAGGATTCCCATCACTGGCTTTAATTATCTTTAACATTTCAGTCTCTTGACTGCCTTGGCTCACCAGAGGCTGCTAGAAAATATCTAGTCTCTTTCATTTGAAATACATGGTACATCAATTTCATTCCTAAACAAATTCTCTTCTCAGTACCTGTGCATTAGCAAATCGCTTACTGTTTTCAACTACCCCATAGCCTTTCTGGCCTCTTTCCTTTCCTTTCCTCTACTTCCCAAAGCTCTTTCACATCTTTTGAGATCCAATAAAACAGTTATATCCTTTCAAATTTTTTAAGATTTTCCCAGGCTGTTAATCCTGCACTCCCACACAGCCCTCTATTAAAACTTACATTAAAGAACCTACGGCATTGAGTTGTAATGTCATAGGCATACAGGTAGATCACACACACACACATCCAGTCTTATTTAACTCCTAACCAGCTCTTGGAGAAAGAGGTCATGTCTCAGTCATCTTTTTATCTAAGGATCTAGCACATTAGTTTATACCTTTACATGTAATGTCAACATGTACTAATATTTACTACAAGTTTGGATGGAGGGAGTTTAAAGCAGATGAAAGTATTACTACCTAACCTGTCACAGATGGTCCTTGTATCTGAGTGTGTTTTTTCCTGTCCTTGCCCACCTCCCAAATAACTTTCTAAGTCCTCAGTTTCCAATATTTTTTGTACCTATAAGCCTTTTCCAGACCATGGATTAGACCCTAACTGCCTTTTCTTCATCCATGCTTAATAAATCCCCTCCTTCAATTTGGAAAATCCTATCTTCTTTATAGAAGACTTCACTTTCCAAAAATGAGCCCCTTACTTCCATTTCTTATTACTTCTACCAGTCATCTCAAAACATCTAAGCGCCCACTTGCTTTTCCATTTTAAGACAGTCACTTTACCAATACTAGAACTTCATTACTGACCCACTCACTGCAGGTTGAAAGTTGACATAAAGCTAGTTCATTCTGGTGATCTGTGGACCCACTACTGTCCATCCACAATCTGAAGATAATATTGATACTCTGATGTACTTGGTCGGTGTTAATTTAATGATCTGTGTGCTTTTTACCACGGGTATTTTATGCTTTTTCAGCTCCTAAGGTAGTGGTTCTTACATCTTTCAACACGTAGACCCTTTTGACAGTCATGGCAAAAAGCCCCCAAAAGCATCTCCCCTGCTGCTTTCTTTATCCCAATACAAAAACAGAGTTTTGCCCATGTCGTCTTTCCCGTACTATTCCAACCCAAAGCAGGGGATAGATTTTAAACTCATACTTTGTGAAACTACCTTTTTGACCAGCCTACAGGCTGCTTTTGAGAACCACTACCCTAGAAAACAGTCTGCGTGTTGCACTTTGTAGTATAGAACACAGTGCCAAGTGCAGGTGCTGCTTCCTAAGTTACTGATGGAAACGTGGTGCTTGCATTACCCACTGACACAGGCTTGCCTACTTTCTCCTCCAGTTGCAGGCACCTTTAGCTGCACCATGAAGTTTACTGTCCGGGACTGTGACCCTGACACTGGGGTTCCAGCTGAAGAGGGGTATGATGATGAGTACGTGGTGAGTCTCACCTGCACAGAGACCCACTTTGACACCCTTGCACCATTGAGGGACTTCTGCCCAGAGAGAACATTTTTCTAGGAACATCTGACACAAACTTATGGGGTTTTATTCTTCTCAAACATATTACCACTGAGGAGGACCTGGACTAATCCTCCTCTGTAATGGGAGTGTGTCATGCCAAAGAGAAATGAGATTTATAACTTCATAATTGATTAAAACAAACTCACTCTTTTTTATGTCTATTAATAATAGGAATAATTAAGAGATGAAAATAATTACATGATTTTCATTGAGATCAGTTTTATTTAAAGTATTGGGGGGGTTTGTTTTTTTGTTCAGCAGCTTTTAGTTTGCTTATAAAGTAGCCATATCATGGACTGAAAAGCCTTCACAGAATGCAGGGAAAAGTTTTAAAAATATCAACCTGTTAGTGGAGACTAAGGTCAGAAGGCCCTGCATGGTCTGAACTCGGTGGTTAGGTGTGACATGACTGCTTTGTATCCCAGGGCTGCAGATGTTGATCTGAATATGGCTCTTGCCAGATGTCCTATTTTCTTGCTTTCCTTTGCTAATGCCTACATCATTAGATTTATCCAGATTACAGAACTTAAACTAGTTTGGCAGTGACATTTTTCCTAGGCTCCCTCAAAAGATATGACACAGAATGATAAAACCATATTAATTAGTCCCTTCCATCTTTGTTCTGTAGTGAGGGGACTTTCATTTACTGACTCCTGTTTCCTTGTTCGCCACTAGCTGGAAGATCTTGAAGTGACTGTGTCTGACCACATTCAGAAGGTCCTGAAGCCTAACTTTGCTGCTGCCTGGGAAGAGGTGGGAGATACCTTTGAGAAAGAGGAGACCTTTGCCCTCAGTTCTACCAAAACTCTTGAAGGTGAGAATAATTTTGCTATCAGAATATTACCTGACAGCAGTATAAAACCTAATAGGCATATTTGTTATTCCAAAAGAACTCATTTTTCTTTAAATACTTCATAAACTATTTCACTTAAAAGGCCAGGACCCTGTCTGTATCATCTAACTGAGGCAACCAGTTTCTGGTCCAGTAGCTTCCCTCCACACACTACCAACCCCTTTCACCCCCCAGCTCCCAGCACTAGATACTAGAGCAGAGGCAGATCCCTATGCGACCTTTACTGATACTGTTGCATCAATCTTCTCAACACAGAAGCTGTCAACAACATCATCTCATTTCTGGGCATGCAGCCATGTGAGAGGTCAGACAAAGTACCGGAGAACAAGAATTCCCATTCCCTCTATCTGGCAGGTAAGAAACCTCCATCAGATTTCCCCTTTATTTTGTTGCAAAGTTTAATAGCAAGGGATGTGCGTGGACACCTCATGCCCTGCTCTTGCCCCATTATCCCATTATATGAGTTACAATTTGAAGCCCCATCAAAATGAATAATTTGTTTTAGATGTTTAATTAATTTGCATGTTTGTCTGAGGTTGTTCTTTTAAGATGTACATTTGGCCTAAAACACTTACTTAAATCTCTCCTGCAGATACCAATGCCACCATGCCCCCCACTTTGAGTACTCCAAATCAGTATTATTGAATACCTTCTATGTACCTGGTATTATGGGAATATAAAAGATTATTTAGATTTTGTATGTAGGACTCAATTCCCACCATAAACACAGATCTATAGAAAAGCTAAACTAAACTAATAGAAAGGAAATGCAGGCAGAGCATGATAAATTTCATTATTCAGAGCTTTTTTTGAGTTCTTAATATGGTTCTCCTCCCTTTTTTCTCTCAGGTGTATACAGAGGTGGCTATGATTTATTGGTGAGGTCCAGGCTGGCCTTAGCAGATGGAGTAACCATGCAGGTGACTGTCAGAAGCAAAGAGGCAACACCTGTAGATGTTATCTTGGCTTCTGTTGGATAAATTTTTACTGGCAAGATGAAATTGATGTATACTTCACTGTCAGTGGGCTTTTAGGCTAGTGGCATGAATTGCCCAGAATCATAAACGTTAATGATTTTGGAGAAGCAAATTCACTGTTTGGCCCTGAGCCAGCAGATCAAGCAAATGTCTGTCTTTGTGCATGTCTTTTTTTTTTCCGTTTTTTTTATTACACTTGGTCAACTTTGGTCTGATAGTACAGCTTTGGGTGATCTTGAAAATCAAATACTATCCTATACCCCAGCTGCTTAACGTCATTATATTCTTTAATTTAATGTGTCTGAAAGCTCCTGGCAATGCTGGAAAGCTCTTATCCCAGAGGGGTGGTGGGGGAGGGGAAGCCAGAGTCCACTTTTGTCAAAATTCATTTTTATTAATAGAAAATAAACACTTATTCCAGTTTCAGTTATACTTGAAGTTGCTAATAAAAAAAAAGAATTGAAAATAATCACTTAATCCTGTTTTGACTAAAACAATGAAACTGTGGTTTAAAAAAAAAGTATTCAGCACCATTTGCTCATAGGCCTTTCAGAATTTGTTCTTTAAAGTTTCTGGAACTTTCCTGTCTGTAAAGCACAGGAATTGCTGAGCTATATGAGGAAGCCTCTCTGGGACAACCAACGAGAAGTTAAGCAATCATCATAAAAGGAATCAGTGTACATTCGGCATGGTCACTTGGACTGTACAACGATCCCCTCCCCTCCACTTTAGCTCAGGAGGGACATGCTTCTAAGCACTGAGGTATGAAGAGCCGGACTGTTATTTGCTGTTTGAATTAGTCTTTCCAGCTAATAACAGTGAAAATCTGGCACAGATTGCTGTTGGTCCTTAATGTCCTGTGATTTTAGGAAATTCTGTAAATAGTCTGGATTTAGTCCAATTTATTCAGAAATTAAAGAATTGATGTTTAAGAAGGTTCACTACTCTGCCAGAATAAGTATGTGCTGGTTTAGTCTGCTTATAAAATATATATAATTCATGTAGCTAAATCATAGTCAAAGTATATTTAGAATACTGCATTATTTAAACCAAAACCTATTTTAACAAAACGTCTATTGCTTAGAGAACGTAAAAAAGCATGTGCCCTTAAAGCCATCCAAAGGAGAAGTAAGGAGGCACCATATCCTCATTCTTTGTTATATGATTCCAATTGGGGTTGGGCTAGAAATTAGCATTTCTAAATATTTCAGAAAAGTCCATAGAAATGTTAAGACTTTTATGCAAAAGAATGTCTGTCTGTTTGTCTTTCTGCATCAGTGAGTAACCGTGCTCATCAGAATTTCCTAATAACACAAAGACAAAGGCAAGTCCATACACTTGGTCAGATGTCAGAGGAACAGAAGGTGGACTATCAGGTCACCCTTAGAGCCTCTGCTGGCTTTTTACTATATACTGTTCACCAGTGTGAGTCAGGTGGACTTCTGTGAGAATAGTGTTTGGTGGCCAGGACCTCTTTTGGGCATTGCTTCCTAAGTGGAATACACAACAGATAAGGGAGTAGGGGAGGTAATACAGGGAAGCTACTCTTTCCAGCTCAGAAGGAGTTGATGAAGCCCATATATGCATTCAAGAAGCCCATGGGATCCTCTAGCTGTGGATAGTGGCTAATGTGGTCATCCAGAATCGACACTGTGGACCGCGGCAGCGTTTTCCTAGTGGAAGAGAACAGCATGTAGGTGAACTTGAGGCAGGAGGGAGGGAGAGGGATGTAAGCCAGTGGGCAGCCCCAGTAAATGCCCCTGTGGACATAACACAGGAAGGAACCAACAAAGAGCTTATTTACCTTCTACTTTGGAATTATCTTAGGCAGATAAACTTGCCAGTTCCATTTATGATGTATACAGACTAGTTTTTAAATGTTCATAATCCAACAGACAACTAGAAGATATAACACTTTCGCAACACATGTCAAAGCAGGATAACTTCCAGCTCCTTAGAGAAGCATGAGGCATCAAACAAGTGGCCACTCAGCAACTCACTGTCCAAGTAAAGATAACAAAAGACCTTCCTTAACCCTGGAAGGAGATGCGAGAGGGTATTTTGTTTAAAATTAAATGCAAGCTATCTACTACTAGGTGTTTCTACTAGGCCATATGAAGGTATGGAACATTCTTATGTGACAAAGTCAAGATTTCATATTCCGACACCTTCTGAGTAAGTACTTAGTGAAAATAACCAATGAGAAGGCACTTTTCCACAGTGAGCTCAATCTCGCCTTGCAGTCTGCTCAGCTGAGGTCAATAAGTTGGCTTTAGAATCACACTAAAGCAAACATTTCTTATAAACTTTACCCACTTCCATTCCCTGGTTCACATGACAGCTTTTTCTTACCTGTACACCTAGGAATATGCAGTAGCCGTGACATGAAAACAGGCTGAATAAATCAAGAGAATGTATAACTGAATTTCTTGATCTTTACATTTATGTGAGAATAAGATCCCCCAACTCATCCTTTTGTTGTATGTTTCCTGGATGAACAGCCAATGAGGTCAGAAACAGTGGCTAGAACAACAAGCCTGAGCAGACAATCCTGTTCACCACTGTCAGGATGAGGAACTGACAAAACAGAGGCCCCTGAGGACTCACCTGTACAGCTCCAAAAACTCCGGATAGGGATTCACGGGATCCAAAGGCCCATAGATAAAATGAACTAAGAAAGAGAAGAGAAATGAATTACTAACAGCCCTCACATCTCTTCTCCTACCCCCACCCTAAAGTTATCCCTCCAAAAAAATATTTTCTTTAAATGAATTTTTCTTTGTGATAGAAACCTAGCTTCTATCAATAAGTAAGTTCTAAGAAACTTCTGGGAATAAGTCTAAAACTTAGTCCATTTGGGACATATTCTCCTATATACTGCCATTCAGCCCCTTCTTCTGTGCCCTGGACCAAAAGGAAGAGCCCCACTTTCAACATTCTCTTTCTATAAATCCAGGATATTATCATTCTTTTTTTTTTTTTTTTTTGCTGAGAAAGACTGGCCCTGAGCTAACATCCATGCCCATCTTCCTCCACTTTATATGGGACGCTGCCACAGCATGGCTTGACAAGCAGTGCATTGGTGCGCGCCCGGGATCCAAACCGGCGAACCCCAGGCTGCCGCAGCAGAATGCGCACACTTAACTGCTTGCACCACCGGGCCAGCCCCAACACTATCATTCTATAAGTCTCTCTCTTCAGTTATAATTGACCCTTGACATTTGAAATCAACCAATAATTTCTTGAGCACTAACTACCATGTGTGAGACACTGCACCGACTTTTTTTCTTTTTAAACCTGTAAGAATGAAGAGACAAATGAGCAGAAACTATCTATAGCCTCTTGATTAGTAATCTAAACAGCCTTCTGCCCCAGCAATTCAGTATTTAATGTGACAGCCACTGATGACGCACAGCACAGAAACCAGTCTAACTCCATTCCCAACAGCGACACCAACTACCTTTGCAAGAGTATCTCAATGTTTTATCTACTTCATTCCATAACACACGTCACTGGTGTTCCAGATGCTGGGAGTAGGGCTGCCAGATTACATAAAGTGTGACCAGTTAAATTTGAATTTCAGATATAGTGATTTTTTTTTTTAGTATAAGTATGTCCCAAATATTGCATAGCACATACTTATCCTACGAGTATTTGTTGTTTATCTGAAATTCAAATTTAGCTGGGTGTCTCGTATTTTTATTTGCTAAATCTGGCAATTATTTTAACCCCACTGTGCCTCAGTTTTCCTATCAAGATGTAATATAGAAATACTCACTGGGAATAGTTACAGAGGCAAGAGCTCCCACCCAGCGTCTTCTGAACTTCTTCCGCTGATTGATGTACTGTAAGAGACTATAGGAGAGGTAAGTCAGCAGGAGTAGAACAGAAACTTGGATTGTTATAGGGATGCAGAGGCCTGAAATGAGCCACAAGGAACACAAAAGATATGTTTTCTCAATCCAGAAGCAATTTGGCACTCCTGGGAATGGCCTACTTAATTTACCCATTTCTGTTATCCTCTAGAGTTAACCACCATGTCGCCATGGCAGTGACAATGCCTACTATCGATGTAAGAATCAATATTTCTTGGTGTTTATTGATCAGGGAATGAGACCTAGGAAGTTAGGTTGGGTTCTGTGTGACTAAAGCCTGGGTCTAAGTTCCGATTGTGGCTCCACCTCTAAGTAGCTCTGTGACTAAAAGGTGTAACACACATCTTTCAACCTCCATTTCTTTGTCTTTAAAAAATAAGATGATTGAACTACATGATCTCTACATTGACATCTACTTCTAAAATTCTAAGTGTAGAAGTTCATGAGCACAAAGCTTCAGTCCCTGCATTTCATTTGACCACAGATAAAACTGAGGAGAATTTCTCTTCCTACAGTGTTAAGATCATAGCCACATTACAAACTCATGTATTCTGATTATTCTGCCTGGCAACTCCAGGAGTTATGAACCTCAAATATTACCTCTTAGAAATGGTATTTACTTTTTGGAAAGTATAAGAGAATTTTAAAGGAGGATTATTTTTTCAATTTTTTATATTAAAATGAATCTTCAGGGATCCCATGGAGGTTGGAGTGGGAGGGAGGAATGGCTCCCCCTACCTCACAATTTCCAGCAAAGCCATCAGTTAAAACACTGGAAGCTACACTGACCCAGTTGGCAAAAGGACAGGGCCTTATCTGACACAGTTATGGATATCGGCATCTCTAGGTCCCTCTGTGAAAGCAGCTACAGTCTCATTTGAACCAAGGTATGGGAATTCTTCCTTCAAGACAGAGAAATCTCCCCTCAGTCCCTGTTGCTACAGAAAAGATATGAAAAAGGAAGAGACTAGTACTTTAAGAGAGACACTAAGTGCCTTTCACAACTATGATTAGACATTTTGAAGTATTTATTATTAACAAAAAGTCCAAAGGATTTGCCAAAGTCAGTCAGTCAGTTACAAACTGAATTAGCATTAGAATTGGCAGCTGTTTATCCAAACTTTTTGTGCCACATGGCTTAGGCTCAGGGCTCACTCTCTTCTCGACTTCTTTCTTCTTAGAAAGTACAGAGCATGACATTTTTTGGTTGGCCTCGTAGGTCATAACCCACCTTTTTGTGAGAGGGAATGAGAACAAGCAATCCTACATCTTTCCCCACTTTCCAAAAAAAGCCTCTCCAGAAACCAAAGCAAAGGGTTATTTCTTACCTGTCAATAACTAAGTTCCCGTCATTGTTGCGTATCCCTGCCCACATGTCCCACAGTTCACTCTCAGAGGGTCGGGTGTATGGCCCAAAGACTGGGGTGAGACTGAAAAAAGCCCAAAACAGCAGAAAAGACAAGTGTAAGAAGAACTCAGAATGTCAAATATGACTGGAACCTCAGAGGTCATGTAGTCTGACCCTTAACTGATTTATGAATTCCTTCTACTACTTCCCTGGCAAGTGGCCAACACCTTTGCTTTAAAATATCAAACCCTAGGATTTGGCCCAGAATTTTAATGGCAGCAACTTTCCACTATATTGTTCCCAGGCTGTAGTGAATCAGTCTTTGACAATGACTTACCCTCGCGAGAATACAAAGAAGTTCATCAATCGTGTGAGGATGGGGGACAGCATACCTCCATCTTTGAGAAGCTGGAGGTAAATAAGTAAAAGTAAAAAATCAAGAATCCAGAAGAAGACGACAACTAACCAGGACAAAAGGTTTAACAGCAGGAACTAAAAAAGGACTTGAGCGAAATCTCCTTCTACTGAAAGGTTTGGTCATTAGCTTTTAGTTTTTTGTTTTGCCTACCTACATTCTTCTCTCATGGAAGACAAACTTATTTCTAATTCCCTTTAAGATTTCTACATTTCACTAGATCCCTAAGACTTTTAATTGGTATCTTCAACTTTATAGACTAAGAACCCAATGTGTTCAAACATCAAGCTGATGACACTAATTTTTAGATAGCTGTATTTCTCCAAATATTTGTTGATCTCTTATTCTCAGAAATAGTTTTAGGCTTTATGTAGGGACCACTTGCACTGCTTTATTTGCATAAGGTAAAAACGAACTTCATTAATATAAATTCGTGAAGATTTTAACTACAGCCCATTACACCAGGTATGGCTCTTATCAAGGTCCCAGCATTATTTAGTAAAAATCTTAAAAACTACAAATCTATTCAGTGGAGTAGCCAACCTTTTGGAGAAGGAGAGGACGGTGAGTCTCAGGAAATATACCTGTAGGAGAAGAGACTTAAGTCATTTACCAACAACTTTAGGCCAAACATAGGCCCATTATTGGAGACCGTGGACCCTATTCACTATCACCTGTGGGGCCTTGACTGCCAAAAACAGAATGGCAAATAAAAACTTAGAAGTGTCATCTAATTAATTCTCCAGGGAATTCTGTGTTTAACAGGTCTAATTATATCCAACTAGGATTACTTTCCCCATTGTAAAGATAGAGAAATGGGGAAAATAACATACATGGTCGTCCATACTGCTGATGACTAGGCTGACTGCCCTTAGCGTTTCCTCCCATTCCTCACAACACATAGTGTTATTAATGATTTGGGAAGCAAAAGAAACCAGAGATGTTTCAGGAAGTGTAGGTCTTTAAAAAAAAAACCTAGAGTTTTTCCTTTTCCATTTTCCTCCAGAGTCAATGGGAGAAAGCCATGAGCACTGCTAATAAAGGGACAAACAGACCCCTCTCCCTATCTGCCCTTAAGGTATTCAGGGGACATTTGGATATCCATGGATTTACAAGCCAGGCTCAATGACACGCAAAGAAAAAGAAACATCTCCAAAGGTCTAATCAGGAGTTCACTAATTTCTAACTGAAACTTGGCACTGCCATCAATTAAGAGTTTCTGAAACAAACCACAGTAGTATTAGAAGTACCTCTGGCTTCATCTCAAATATCTGCATAACTGCATCTGCATCTCAAATATTTCGCTCTAGATACATAGATCTTGCTAGGTAATGCATTAAAAAGAAGCACATATTACTATAACACAGCTTTTTATTAACTGTATGTCAATAAAATTAGTTTCCTTTGTAATCCTATTATTTCCTATATTTAAAAACATTATTCTGAGAAAAGGTCAATAAATCTCATCAGACCACCAAACCAGTTCATGGCACAAAAAACGTCAAGATCTAGTTAAATTGTGTCTGTTTGCAGTACCATCAGATTACCATTTAGATGTCACAGTGATGTCTAACCATGGCCTTTCTAGGCTACACCTCAATTTTCACTGACCACCAAGGCAATTACCTCCATTTGACAGACAGAGACTCTTGATGGTAAGCCGACCAGAACGATTCTGCTTGAACCTAGAAAGAGGGGAGGGAAACACACATCTGAGTGGACTTACACCAATGCAGTGGCCGAAGACAAAACTCCCAAGAGGGAAAAGGGCTAGAAAGAATCCAGGAACAATTTACTTTTCCCAACATCTTAAACAAGTGAACCTTGTGACTAGTACAGAAGTCTATGAGTTCACTGACCTATAGAGCAGCTCTTGAGCAACGGTATCTCCATAATCATGAGACAAAAGGTTGATCCTGCGGTTCTGGAGCCCCAGATGCCGCAGAAGAGCCTCCACGATGCTGGCCTGCTCAAATATGGAGTAGTGATGTGGTCTCTAAAGAAAGGAAAGCCCAGACAGACAGGATAAAGTCATGAGTGGAGATCTGTCTGCCAGCCTGACCCCTCTGTCCTCACCTACCTCCACCCTCTACTCTGGTCCCGTCTGGATACTTCTTACCGGTTTGTCACTGAAGCCAAAGCCTAAGAAATCGAGGGCTATCACTCGATGAAACCTCAGGGTCAGACCTTCCCAAATCTATAAGAAAGAAAGATGATTTGGACTTTCAATCCTGCCCGTCCTCTCCTGCAACCTACAGCAGCATGGGAGTTTCATCCCCACCTCAGCGTAGCAGGCAGACTTCAATAAAGGGAATACCTCATGAAACCACCACAGGCCCACAGATCAGCCTCTTGGAGAGTGCTTTATTCCTAGTAATTAATCTCTATTGAGGGAGGAATTCTAGCATTTTTAACTTGGCAGTGATTCTTCCCAGACTGCCAAAGAGTTTTTTACTCCCTTACAGTAAATGAGAAACAGTTCTACATGTAATTCTATTTTATTAAGCAATTCAAATATGCAAGAGCCAGCAAAATCCTTGATTTTGGACATTTAAAGACATAGTAGGACTTAGAAGTCTGATTTCCTTACCTTGTACCAATCATAGCTGGATGTTGGAAAGCCATGTAAAAGCACGACTATCTCTGGACTTCCAACCACACCCACAGAGTCTAGGAAGAAGGAGAGAGGGAAGTTAGGCCGGCTCCTAAAATAACCTTGAAGATATTAAAATCTAAGTAATCATGTATAAAGGACAAGAAACCCTGCCCAAAGTAATGAAATTAAAATAATAGATTTCCTTTTAAAATACAAGATGATTGCTTTAGGTAAAAACACACATTTGATTCTTTATTTTCTTTTAATCTGTATATTAAAAAACTGTAAATGGCACACTTTAGATGAAAATACTTGAAGACAGTCTGCTTACTTTCACCTAGATTTTTTTAAAAAGTATTTCCCCATTTCTCCCTTTATTAATATGCAAATTGTTTTTCACAGTAAAAAAGTAAACTTTCATAGTTAAAAGTATACAGTCACAACATATAAACCACAAATTCTTCGTATCTTATCATTAATGGCCTCACAAAATTCCCTAAAATATAGCAACCCTTCCTCAGCCTGGTGAGCGCCTTAGTGTATGCTGCCTGTCCAGCCCCTTTATTTCCCGCAGAGGAGACTCAATCCAATACCAAAAGCATAATCCTCAAACTACTGCAAAATTCTAACAGCTATAAAAAAGAGTTAGTCGATATAGAGATGAACATTTTTTAATGCATAAACATCTTTTAAATCAGCCAAACATTTAAACAGTAAAACGCCTTGCTAATTAATAGTATTAGATTAAAACTGACACATTCATATACTGCCAGTGGCATGAGAATTTGGTAAGGTTTGCAAAAATAAATTAGTTACAAGCAATTAAAAATTTTATATACTTTAGCCTAGGAGTCTTATTCTTGAGAATCTATGCAAATAAAATCATTCCATTTACACTAGTATACTTTGCAAGTATAAGGAAAAAATAAACACATACATGCAGATTTCCCTTCAACATTAACTATTTAAAACATTAAAAAACTGGAAACAACCTAAATGACCAATGTAAAGAAATTATATACTTACTTAGTTGAATATAGCAGATGAGAGGCGGTCAGGAGCAATAATGAAAAACGGTTTATGACAAACATTTTTCGTTATTGCTCTTGACCTCCGCTCAAAAGAAAGCTTTTCCAATCGCGTTTCTCAGTTTCTTTACCTATAAAATGAGATGAATGGCACCTCTCTCCAAGTACTGTTGTAAAGATTAAACGAAATAACGAAGGCTGAAAACATAATTCAATGCCTAGCATATGGTAATTACTTGATAAGTAGCAGTCATAACAATATCATGAGCAAATTAATGTATACAAAAGTATAAGACAAATCACATTTAGTTATGCATATCACAAATAATCTTTATAGAAAACAATAAAAAGAGATCAGGAATTTGAGGGGGGAGAACAGAACCAATGGTAACTATTATCTATGAATACTGTTTATATTACCTGACACTGGGGGTGCTCAAAAGAGAAAACCGGTATCAGTACAAGTCAGGCTACAAAGAAAAATTATACTAAGAAGTCAGTTCTACAGAGATTAGAATCCCAATTCTAGCCACCCTCCCCTCCCACCCCCAAGCAGTTTTCTTTGAGTTTCCCTGCTATCAAGTTAACAGGGAGAATTAGTCTATTCCTTCAAGCACACTATACAGAAAAAGGAGTTTTTACTGGATCACTGAGGGGCAATAGAGACCAATGGACACAAAATAAGTACCTCAGTGGTACCTACAGGACCTGTAGAGGCAGGGTGTTCCAACAGTCCTGTTCTTACCTTGGTAGAAGATGCGCAGTCCCTTGTAGGTGAAAAATTTGCCTGATGACTTCCATGAGTGAAGAGCAGGAGAAAGCTGGGGGGGCGGGATGTGCAGGTAGGCCGCAAGCAGGGGCACAGCCAGTAGCCCCACCTGGACCCACCACTCCCTCATCCTGTCGGAAAATCAGAGACCCAGGTAAGCAGTCAGGTGATACTGTACACGCTTCTATAAGCCACAAACTGGTAAGATCGGATGGGAAATTTCTGTACCATGCAGTGACTACCTTGCCCTCCATGTGAACATGGCAGAAAGTTTACCAAGGAGAATGTAAGCACATCTCTGCCTGCTGTGGCAATCACCATATTGGCTCACCATTCTAATTTTAAGGAAAAAATATATTATTTTAATATGTAATCTTCCCCGTCTCCTTCTCCCCACTTTAACCCCTCAGCCCCTCCCCCTTGTGCTCTTCCCAAGACCTGCTGAAGAGGATTTATGTAAAGTAAAAGGAAGGTTACTTCAGTATTGTGCATGTTTTCATGGGCTTTTATTAAGGCTTCCCAAGAAAAAAATAACAAAATCCTTCATATTTACTCTAAAAGCTCTACCACCTAGTAAGTAAACTGTTTTATTTTTTAACTAATTTTAGTTAACTAAAATGTTTTCAAACTGTTTAAAATATACATATATGTAGTAACATCACATGTCCTTAGGCAGGAACCTGCTCTTGATTTTTTAATATTTATTAGACCTCTGACCCCAGTGAAGCCCCATTTGGCCCTCCTATCTGGATTTGTGTTGAGAAACTGTGAAAGTTTGTGAAAGTTAAGAAGATAGGTCCACTGTATATTCCAACATAAGCAGCTCTGTCATGACCCTGAATATCTAATCTCTTGAGAGGTCAGGGAAGCAGATTATATTTCTGCTTTTCTTAGCAGACTCTTGAGGAAGCTCTCAATTATTTAATTTCTTAGGACTCCCCCTCCCCGCCACCTCCAAAAAATGATAATAATAAGACAGAGCTCATACCTAACATCTGGGAATTAATTTTCTTTGGAAGGAAAGCACTGGTTTGCACACACCCAACCTTCCCATGCCCAGGACTACAAAGGTCCAGGTCAGTTTATCCACAATGACAAGGAGTGCTAAACAGGAATTAGAAACAGTTCCCTCATTTCTAACTTACAATTGCTGATGGTCACCAGGGAAAGAATTGTCAGTAGAATGGGCGTTATCTTAAAATAGCCAGAATGGAAATATCTTTCAAAACTGAAATAAGAGTCCTCAAGAAAACAGAGCTATAAATAAGGGAAATTAATTGTCAAAGCCCTGGTGGAAATGGCTTTGTGTCTGTATACACCCTCCCAACATACTACCTGTAATCTGAACACAATTCCTACCCATCACAAACAAATCCAACTCACAAAATAATTTTTTTTAAACTCTAAAATAAATAAATAAGCCTGGGGTTCCACAGTGGTAAAATAACCACATCCATTATTAAGGAATCTCAGCTCCTTTGCCTATTTTTTAGGCATCACTAGGGCAGTCTTTTTTTTTTTTTTTTTTTCTTTTTTTCCTCCAAAGTAACCGTCCATAAAGCAGACCCAGTGACGTGGTTCTACCTTTCAAGGTAATATTAGAAATGATTCGAAAAAGTGTCCAGAACATGATCATTATATCATAATTTTCACCCCACGATACTAGCCAGCTATATCCCAATATCTCCTTGAAAGATGAGATGACAAAAAGCATTAGGTTTCGATTATCATTTCTCAGAGCTATCTGTCCTATACTTCAGCTCATACATTTTCACCTTCGCATTTCATCACTCCTTATCCCCATGCTCCTCATCTCATTCATTCACAGCTTCCAGCAGCCGAATATCTGCAATGACTCAGCAGAGAGCCAGGGAGGGGCTACTAGAGGAGCAAGCGGAAGGAGCGCCACGGGGGGCAGGGGGGGCGCAGGAGAACAACACACACTCTGCTCCTGGACACCCCCACCCTCCACAGGTTCCTTCTCTTTCACTCCAAGAACGCAAAGAGGCAATCCCTCAGGAAGCCGTTTTCTCTTTTAATTACCTCAGAAAAAATGCCCTAACGACATTTTAGGATTTTTAGTAGGGAAGCAATCTGGCAGTCAGTAGGAAAAATGGATTAAACATTTTTTGACCAAAATCTCCATTATTTGATGAGCCATGAGTCAAGAGCATAAATTCCACAAACCTTCTGGAAATTTATCAACCTTTCCGAGCCTTTATTTCTTCATCTTGTACATAGGAAAAATACACTCATTTAATACCACCAAACCTGCCCGCTTTACAGCATCCCCATGAGACTACGAACTACTTTGTAAACCAATGCAAACAATTCATGTGTAACATTATAACAGTTTGGTCACATGTCCATTCTCACTTGGCTTCTTGTTACTGAAATCTCAAAAATACATACTCCTTGGTGATAAGGCCATGCAAGTTCTAGTCACACCTAAGCGGTAACTGCCACCACGGCACCAGGGTCTCGAAATTCTAAATTGCGGCAGGTCAATGCCCGGGTCTAGAAATTTTAAATTGCGCCACAGCAATACCACATCTTGAAATCTTAAGTCGCACCACGACAATACCACGGTCTCCAAATTCTAAATTCAGCAGGGCGATGCCCAAGGTCTCGAAATTCTCAATTGCGCCACAGCAATACCGGGTCTTGAAATCTTAAATTGCACCACAGCAATACCAGGGTCTCGAAATTCTAAATCGCGGCAGGGCGATGCCGGGGTCTCGAAATTCTAAATTGCGCCACAGCAATACCCAGGTCTTGAAATCCTAAATCGCACCACAGCAATACTGGGGTCTCGAAATCTAAATCGCGCCAAGGCTTTGCAGAGGTCTACAAATCCTAAACCGTGCCAGGATGATATCCGGGTGCTCAAGTCCTAAATCACACCAAGGTGAAACCAGGGTCTAAAAATCCTAAACAGCGCGAGGACGATGCCTGAATCTAAAAATCCTAAATCGCATCAGAGCGATACCAGGGTCTAGAAATCTTAAGTCACGCCAGGACGACGCTGGAGCCTAGAAATCCTAAATAGCGCCAGGGCGACACGAGGGTCTAGAAATCCTAAATTGCATCAAGGCGACGCCAGGGTCTAAAAATCCTAAATCGCGCGAGGGCGACGCCGGGGTCTAAAAATCCTAAACCGCATCAGAGTGATACCAGGGTCTAGAATTCCTAAATCAGGGAGATCCCGCTTTCGTGCAGGAGTGACATTCCCTCCCAAGTAGGCTGAGCAGGCTCAGAGGACAAAAACGCGCGCCCCCTGCCCCCGGTGGGGTTTTCCCTCCACCGAGGCAGTCGCAGTCCGGCAGCCAGCTCGGACACACCAAGTCCCCATCCGCTAGCCCGCACCCCGGTCAGGGACAACGGCTCCCAGCCAGCCACACCCCCTCGCGCCTGCCGCGCACACCCACCTGCGGAGGCGATCTCGGCGCACCATGGCCGCGTCTTATCCCATGCCGTCCGGCACACCCGTACGGAGCACAGGGCGCGCCGTGGCGCCCACAGCCGCGCAGAGCCGGCCGGCAGCGAGGCGCAGCCCACAGCCGCGAGGGCAGCGCCGGCCGCGGCAAGCAGCGAGCGGCCACCCGGGCTCGCGCTGCGGCACTGCGCTAGGGCGGCTGCCGCAGTGGAGACGCCGCCCGCGGGGATGCGCGGGACGTGCTGGTTGCCGCGGCGGCACGGAGCGAGTGGGCACCGACTTTTAGAGCCCACCCGAGCCCCGCCCCTGGCCCGCCCACCGCGCCGCAGTGCCCCTCCCGCCGCAGCTGCTGCCCCTCCCCCTAGCCCTGCTGCTGCTGCAGGAATGGGGTGCCTCCCTCACAGCAGCTCCTCCGGGGGGCACCTTCAGGGGTGTCGACCCAGCCAGCACCCTGCTGCTCCCTCACAGGGCCCCCAACCCTGAGCTCCAGGGCCTGCGCAGAAATCCTCCTCCAGCTAGTTAACGCCACAGACCCCTGAGACCCACCCCGTTAGACCACCCACCGGCTCCCCAACCCCAGAAGTGGCCACTCGACCTCAGGTGCGGCGAGGATCAGGGTGCCAGCTGTGGGCCTGCTCCTGTCCCGCGCAGCGCCCAAGGCGTGGGTTCTGAACTGCTTGAGTGCCCGGCCCAGAGCAGCGGTCCACGAGCACCCAACACCTCCTAGGTCCCTAACTACGGGGAACCCAACGACAAGCTCGGCAGGACCTACCACCAAGCCAATCGGCTGATTCATGGGATGGCCACCACGGAGCAAAAAGGGCAAAATTTGAGCAAAGTCTAGGTTCTCTCGCTCTGCCACCACCGCGGCGCGGAGCACGTTTGCTCTGCAGCAGCGCGACGTGGTCCGCATGCCAGAGCCCCGCCGCAGCCTCCCGCGCACCCGCTCCCAACAAAGGGCCTTTCCCGCGCCGGAAAGAATGATCATCACAATTATGAGACTAGCTCCCCTTTATCTGTGTAAGACTGAATCACAATGCAAGGGCCCCAGTGGTACAGGAAAGAGGGAAGAATTTTTTCCTTCATCCATAATCCTTTAAAAAGCATCTATTACGCCTTCGAAAAGAAAAGTGTAGAGAATCACTGAGTGTCTGTGTTCATTTTCTGGCTGTAAATTGAAATTCTGACGAATGTGCACGGGCTGCGAGCGAGCCAGGCAGCCCGAGCAGTGCCGGCTCCCTCCAGCGGGGGCGCTGCAGGCCTCTCTAAACCCCGCGACCGCCGGGCCCTCTGCCGCTCTGTAGCCAAGCACGATGTGGAACATTCGTGCAGAAGGCCGGTCCAACCCTGCCGGTCCAACCGAGCCCACCGGACACTAACAGTGCGCCGGGGAGCTGAGGGCCACCAACCAGGTATAGGAGAAACCACCTTCTATGAGCATGTCATGAAAATGTGTGGCGCAATCTACTGTACACTTCTACTGGTGTTCGATTAAGAGGGTCGTGAAACAAATGCTTATGGTACCTACGGAGAGCTTAAGAGCCGGGATGCAAAGATGAGCGAGATATGGTCCCTGCCCCCGAGCAAGATGCTGACCATGGTGGGGGGGGGGGGGAGACACAGAAGAACCGACGCTGCTTAAATGTTTCCTTTAATTTCCTGGCCACATTTTGTGACAAGCTGGCCCCCTCCTCCTAACGTGTAAGGCCCTCAAAGGCCAAGCCCAACTATTATTCACCTTTTGTATCCCCAGGGCCCGCCACAGTGCTGTCCACAAAGCAGGCCCCTAATAAATACTGCATGAATACGTACAAGAATTTGAGGGCGCACAGAGGAGGAAGTAATTAAGGGGAGGGGGGAAGGGTCGTCTTGGATGATGAATAGACATTTACCCGAGAGACAAAAAGCATTCCAACCAGAGGGGTTGGCATTCGCAAGCACCGGAGGCGCAGGACTGCACGACCTTTGGGGAAAACTGCGAGTCCTTCGGGCTGGGGGGCCGACAAGCAAAAAATTAGGCTAGAAAGAGTACTTCATCCTAAGGAGTTTGGAATTTGTCCTAAAGAAAATTGGAAGCCACAGACGGATTTAAACCCCTTATGGCCTTAATTGGTTACTTAACAAAATTTAAATTAGTCCCTTTACAAATGGAAGATTACCTATTTTAGCTAACCACCGCCACCTTTTAAGTACTGAATTACTTAGCAAAATTTAAATCGGTCCTTTCAACGGAGTAAAGGCTTTCCTATTTCAACCAACGACGATAACAACCTTTGGATGATATTTTGTTTCCTGTCTACTGTCAATGGAACCTGTGAGTCCTACAAACAATTCCGCACTTTCATTCTCACTGGCCAGAAGGACCAGCAACAGGATGAAGGCAATTTTGTATTTAATGGACTGAGTGCACACAAAGGAATCTTATTCTGAAAGCCATGGAACATGTCCACCCACAGGGAACAAGTGGGCAGACAGGAGGAGAGACCCTTTGAGGGGCTGGGGAGGGGACCAAGGGAAGCTCTTGAAGACAAACAGGAATTCTAATTTGGTCGCTCAAAAAGAAACCCTCCTGGACAGAGGGACCAGGGAAAATTTCCTTGGAGAAGGAGGCATGAGTTTGAGAAGGATCTTCAACCTAAAACTTGGTTAGGTGGGGAGAAAGCGTTCCTATTTGGAACAACCTCCAGCACAGAGGCAAGGAGTCCGAAAAACGCAGAGGATACTCTGAGAGATTAACTTGGCGAAAGCCGGGAATTTGCTTTGGAAAGTCAAGGCAGAAATGCGTGCAATAATGCCCCAGGAGCCAAAGAGTTAATGAATTTTCTAAACGTGGCTGACTTACTTCCAGAAAGGAGCTTCCTCTACTGGGGGAGAATCTGGCCCAAGGTATAAAACACTTGGAGCGCCTGAGAAAACATGGAACCATACATAAATCCAAAATCTGCCTCTGGCTGGCTCTCAGCGCACCCTTTCAGTTCCTAGACACAGACATCATGCTTAACCGCCACCACAGGCAGCGGTATTCCCTCAACCAGTAGCTTATCATACATTCCTGTCACATTCCAATTCGAAGACAGTCCCTCATAATAAGACCTCTGATTTGTGCAAAAAGTAGTGTAGAAAGCTCGGCATTTATTAGCTTGCTGATGTATAACAGCGGTATGAGATCAGCAGGGCTGGTACCACAGGTTCAATAATCATATCTTTCTAACCCCAGTTTGAGACCCATAAAATGACAAATACAAGGATATTTATGGAGACAGCAGGACAGAACTGGGATTGCCACTTTCAAGAGCCATAACTATCGATTCAAATAAACTAAAAAAGTTCAAGATGGGAGAAAAATGGTTCAACAGCAGCACATGTTAAAGAAACTTCGGGTTTTAATTGACAGTGAGGCCATGTGATATGGCTCCAAAAAACCCATTGCAGATTGTAGGCTGTAATTACAGAAGTACCCAGCATAAGCTAATCCTACTCTATTCTGATAGACCTCACAGAAAGTATTTTATTCTGTTCGACAGAGCAGATATTAAGAGACACATAGACAAACAGGAATTTGTTCAGACATCAACTAAAATGCATTGCAGGGGCCGGCCCAGTGGCACAAGTGGTTAAGTGCACATGCTCCGCTGCGGGGGCCCAGGGTTTGCTGGTTCAGATCCCGGGCGCGCACCGACGCACCGCTTGGCAAGCCATGCTGTGGTGGCGTCCCATATAAAGTGGAGGAAGGTGAGCATGGATGTTAGCCCAGGGCCAGTCTTCCTCAGCAAAAAGGGGAGGATTGGCAGATGTTAGCTCAGAGCCGATCTTCCTCATAATAAATAAATAAATAAAATGCAAATTATGTCACTGAAAGTATAACAGCTCTCATATTTTAAGCTCCTACTACAGCATGGATCTTCACCCAATTTATCCCTAATCCTCACAATAACTTGGCTAAATGAGTATTGCCATCCACATTTTTCAGAAAAACCCAGCAGCTCAGAGCACTAAGTGTTAGTATGTGAAGGGACTAGGAACTGAACGCAGATGTGTCTGGCTCCAAAGCTGGCGTTCTTTCCACTACCCCACACTGCCTCCCTGTTTAAAATAACTGGGCATGTTTGGTTGGAAGAAAAGAAGCCTTGTGGAGTGAGTAGAAGAAGGAAATGTGTTAGCAGTCCTCAAATATTTGTGGAAGCAGCATTAGACATTTTATTCTGTATGGCTCCAACGAGTGCAAATTGTAGAGAAACATGCCGATTCAACATAAAGAATTTTCCAACAGTCGGAGGTGTCTAGAGACTGGGTGGCTCAGCCATTTTGGGGACCTGACAAGTTCCCTGTCACTAGGGGCTGGGTAACCCTATGGCAGGTATGCAAGCTCTGGATGTATGAATACATGAATGACCTTTAATGTTTTTCTCCATCTGATAGAAACTAAGGCTCAGAGAGGTATTGGAACTTGGCCAAGGTGACCCCTCTAAGGGGTCAAATCCACAACAGGTCTTCCCTGGGTGTCCCTCAGCCCAGAGCTCTTTGTACCACATGCTATTTCATCCTGAGGGCAAGATAAATTGAAGAAATTATCCATAGAATCACATCAACCTCCCTCTCAACCAAATTTAACCAATATATCCCAAAAGTGACTAGTGACTTCTTTCCTCTTCAGGCTCATTTTTGGGAAAAGTCTTTGGGTGCAAAAAGTTCAAAAGATGAGGGGTAGAGGAGAGATGCAAGGGAGCTGAATAATCCATTAACCAGATCAGACGAACCCAAGTGACAGACAGCAGTTTCTAGAGACTACAGTATTACTAGGCACCCGTACAGTAACTTTACACACCCTCTGCATTGCTGGGCACACCCCATAATCCCACACCTAGAGTACATCTTAAACACTCACACAGATAAATAGGTTGAAGGATGCAAAATAAAATCTTCTCTTGCATTCTTATAACTTTCCACTCTTTCACTTTTATAACTATTCTCTCATCTGATGCTCACCACAGTCCTCTAAGGAAAACAACTACTTTCTTTCAGACAGACAAGCAATTTCCCAGCTGCCTGGGGAAGAAAGGACTATATAGCACGACTCTGTTTCCCCTTTTTTTTTTAACTACTTTCCCCATTAGATTCTTCTTCCAGCCGGGATGAGCCAACCCAGAAGCAGGTGTTCCGCTTTTCCTCCATTGCTTCCATCACCTCTCACCCTCCTCAGCGGCCCTCCCCGCCTGCCCTCGTGCCCCCACGCACGCTCCGACCGC